GGGGGGGGGTTCTTTTCTAATGCCATTTTATTTCATTGGCATCAAAAAAGACGAAGAGTAACTTTGGTTTTTGTCTCTTTTTTTCTGAAATTAAGTAAAGCATCAATATTTTTAATCTTGAGCGGAAATCGAGTTTTTATCGAATTGGAAATCAAATTTCCGATACGTTATTTTTTCAAAAGAGAGTTAGCAGGCAAGCAGTGCTACTTTCATTTTGAAAGCCTAATGTTCAGTTCTTCACTAGTTGAACCGCTCCATCTACAATTATTTTATTCATTGTGGGGTAAACTGGTACTAGCAAATGCTACAGTGTTGAAATCATTACATCTTGGTTCTAATCATTCTTCGACGATGGGAGCGCCAGCAATCTCGTTAGCTCTTTACTGGTGTTGGCATATGCTAGTGGTGGATAGTGTGCCTTACTTCCTTCGGAAGTTGTTCAGGTGGTGACACGTGTCAAAAGTAGTCACCCGCTGGCAAGGCTTTCAGTGGCTTCTTCTTACTCGGTTTACTTACTAGTATACCTGATAGCATTTGGACTTATTTGCATGCATAAGCACCAACTTACTATCGAAACGAATCAGCGAACTGTAGAGGGACTGGTTGCTTCACTGCCAAACTTGAATCCTCAATCTCCGGCATGAGAATATTGCTAGTTACGATAATGCCATGCTCGACAGATGAAAAAGGGAGGGATTAATGTAAAAGTTTTTTAATATTAATAAAAAATTCGCCTTTAATTAATACGAAATTTCTTGACTGTCAATGCCTAAGTGATCACTCAAACGTTTATTTGAATTTTTTAGATTCGGAACTTTCACGGATTATTTTAACGCACTCTTGCAAAGCAACGAGCAGCAAAATCGCTCATTAGCTACACTCTCCGGTGATTTCTTCCCCTACGAATGCAGCATTTATGATTACTGGACAGGCTATTATACAACACGTCCATTCTATAAGAGACAGGAACGAGAGCTACATGTAAGGTCCGAAAACTTTTTTTATGTCATATATTGCTAATAATAAGGAGAATAAATGCTC